TCCAGCCTGCCCAGGTCCCTCTGGATGGCGTCTTTCTCAAAGAAATAAATTGTTAGCCATCTTCTGCTGACTAAAGCCTCAGTGTGAATAACAATTTCAAACTGTTCAAGACGGTGAATTATTTGAATGTTTTTTTAAACCAGGGCAAGATGGTAAACTTTATTTCTAAAGTGTTAACAATACCCTTATTAATTCTGTCCTTTTGTTAGAAACTTTCCCCTTGATCTCCCAGACTTCTGCTCTGCTCTTGAAATTTGCTGCCTCTTTCCATTTTGACTGCTGAACTGGTGACCAGCAGAAAGAAAAGTAACAGAGGGCTCCCTGCAGCCTATGTGTCTGTTCAGATAGAGGGAGGGAAGAACTCTCATGGTCTGCTCTGGCAGGCTCTCCCTCATCAGCCCCTGTGAATTTATTATATGACCAGCTGCAGGTGTCCCAAACCTGTTAACATATTGGTCTTGTCTTACATCTGGTTTCGTGACCAGGGATGCGTATTTCTCACATGACATAGACCTACTGTATAACAAAGCATTTATCATTGGTCATTTTTCTGGTATAGCACTATGCCCCTACAGAATTTTAATAGGGGAAAAAAAATTAAATTAGGTGGTAATATCTTTCTGCTGCCTCGGGAGAGAAATAAAGCATTTTAACTTCTTAGAATAATGTGGTAATTCTGCAATATATTTGAATGGCTTTAGTATTTTGAATTGGATTGTATACTTCAAATAATTATTTGGGTTGCAGCAGATCCACTTAAGACTTAACATTATGTTGTGGTATTTGTAGATAGATAATGTCAGCTCTTCAGAATGAGTAAAATCTGTCTGCATTAAAATAGCCTGTAGAAAAAAACTGCAGTGAATAAAAATGGGAGCATGAAGTCAAGCAGTTTTACAAATACTTCTGTAAGTGCTTATACATTTATTTTATGAATGAAATACTGTTGATAGCATCTGCACCTGTCTTGGCAGAATTTATGATCTGCAGCTGAAAAGATTACTCACTTCCTACTATGTAAATAAGTGTTCATATTTTCCTTTAAACTCAATTTTATCTCAGTTAGTAAAAGCTACTAACCCCTTGCAAAACTTGAAGCAAGTTTTGCTTTTCTGTGGGTTTTTTTTTTGTTTGTTTGGGCTGCTGCAACAATGCCTTTTCTTTTTAAGAAAAAGTGTTTGCCATGCTTTGTGTCTTATACAACTTAATTGCTTTTACCCCTGAAGTTTTCCATAGGTGTCTTATGCAGTTTTGTGTAGATATTTGCAAAAATCCTTGAATTACAGGTAGCTGAGTAGTCTATCCACAGCAATTTTCAGCCTTATCTTCTGACCTTATGTTTAAGACCGGCACTTAGTTCAGTTATCTAGTGCACCGCTGCTGAAATGAGAATTTTGAGTTCTTTTAACTTGTTAGAAAATTTCTATTCATATTACACTTCAGAGCAATTATTATGGAATATGCATTCCCAAAATATTACTGGCATATTTTAAAGTTTGTACATTATTTTGTGTACAATGACCACAGCATGTCATCTTGACTACTTGGTGACATTGTAGTGTCTGTAAATATTAGCTTTATGTAGCCTGTGTTTTATTGTTAGATGCATTTTGCCTGAAGCAGGTGTTAGATGCAGTTTCTGTCTTGAGTAACTTCTAAAGCTGTTTTCCCTAAAGGACAGTAGTACAGGATGCTAGGTGTTGGGCTCAATTTTAGGAGCATTAAGTCTCGATGCCTGGTGATCTACAGGAAGTTTACAAGACCTTTGAAATTTGAGTTACTGGTTTCTGTGTGTGGTGTTTTTCATGTCAGTAGCACCTTATCCTCCCCTGACCTCGAGATTGGACAATTAATTTCTTTGTGGACTTTAGTGTTTTGGCTATTCTTTTTAGGCTGTGCTTCTTGCTGTCCCCAGCAGCACTTTGGAGACAATAATGGATTATTGGTTTTCAAAGGTGCAGTTGGTCACCATTGACTATTCAAGTGTTTCCAGTTCAAACTTTATTGGTGACAGTTTTTATACACCACCACCCTATCCCCGCCTCCTCCACTCCCACAAGCCACACAGTTTCTGCTGAATGGATGACAGCTCAGATAGAGTATTGAGCTGTCACAGCAGAATAACAGGCTGCAGAGTTCAGCCCTTCAGGAGCCTGAAGCCAGTCCTTTTTATAAATTCTGATCAGTTTTAGGTACAGTGTATCACATATGTATCAAGCAGTCCTTTTAAATGCTAATTTAATTAAGCTATCTTTCTTCTCTTGCAGTATTTTGTCATCAGAGTTTTAACTCTTCAGACTACAAACATCTAGTTAATGTCTATCTACTTAGCAGTCACTCTTTCAACTCTTCCTGTTACCTATGTTATGTATTTGTAATCTGAACTTCAGTTTTTTGAGGCTTTCCAGGCATTACTTTAGCTTGTATTGTGGTATCTAGCAAAGTAGAATACACTGTAAGCAGGATTTTACTATGTTATGCAGAATGCTTAATCTACTGTTTAGATTTACGCAATTCTCTTATAGTTTGAACAGAAAAATGTGTGCTGTATCATGGAAATTTGTACAGCTCTAAAGGAGTGTTTCTGCAAGGGACTGTAATTGCTGAAAGCTCAGGGAAAACTGAAATAACAGTAACAATGTCACAGTTGCAATGTGACAGCTGCTAGACTTGTTCAATTTGCAAAATGTAGTGAAGGGAAACAGCATTGTTTCAGTAAGGAGGCTTAAAATTTAAAATACTCTTTGGGTAGTAATCTGAGGGAATGGTTTTAATCTCTGTTTTCATATGTTCGGTTTGTGTTTGCATTGATATACTGGTTTTGCTTTAACCTTTCATGTAAGGAAGTATTTTATTCTGTAGGATAAACTTCTCAGTGCATTAGTGTGAAGTTACTTTCTCAGTGTAAGAAAGAATTATATTTGTTTCTACATGTAATCAAAATCTGAAAATGCTGTTTAAAACACAAAGTTCTGGGAGATAGTATGGTACAGAAAAATCTTCAAAGTCCAATTCTTAGAAAGATCCTCAAAATACGAGTAGCACCCAATAAATAGTATATCTGACTTAAATTAGTGGTTTTTGTCTGCTGCTAACTATTTGCTTGGAAAAGATTAAACCAAAAGGTACTTTACACTTTCCATGAAATGTGAACAGCTCTTCTGAGAATTAACTGAATGCAATCCATGATTTTGGTTTATAGTGATTCCTGTCATTTCAGAAGTTGGGGAGCAGACTGGTGAGGTAGGTTACTCCAGCTCTCCAGCAGAGGCACCTCCAAGCAAGTCTCCATCGATGCCATCCCTAAACCAGACCTGGCCGGAATTGAATCAGAGCAGTGAGGTTAGCACTTTTATTTAAGAGTTATTTCATTGTCAGTCAATAACTAAGTTGTGTATGCATCCATATTTCATCATAAGTGTATTGTTGACCAAAATTGTGAAAAAGTTCAGCGGGACAATAGACACAGGAAGGTTCTACGCATGTTAAATTGTAAAAACGGTAATGTTTTCCTTCTAATTTGTGTGTCTTATTGCGAACTGAGCTACTGTTTAAAATGTCATTAATGGTAATTAAGCTTTATATTAATGACAAAATGATCTATCATTTATTGGAGAAGTTGAAATCTTGGTTTTTTTCTTTTAGGGTGGTTTTTTGGATGGGTTATTTTGTTCAATCTGAAGGGCTTTTATAGCCACCACTTTTGCAAAACTTCAAAATAAATTTCTGACAGATCTGGACATTGAGACTTATTTCTGGGGGTGATTTTACCCTGAAATATAAAATATCTCACCAGTAACATACAGAAGTCATATCTCTGGTTTTGTTTCGGAAGCAAAGACTTGAAGTTGAATCTGAAGCCAACTGCTGGCTAAATTTTTGATGTTATTGTACTGCTGTTTTATCATCCTTTACCATACATATTTGCTGTATAAGCAGTCTTACATAGTAAAGCTCTGTTTGGTCAGAATTTGAAACTGAAGCTACCAAACAATCTTTTTTTTTTTTTTCCCTCACAGAAATGTCCATTGTTTAGAAAGCCTGTAAGGGATTGATTCCTAGAGTTTTTCTTGTTGCTCTGTTTTAACATTTTTGCCTTTGTGACTTAGAATAAACCAGTGTTTTATTCTAAGGCCTACTTCAGGGACTCAAATTGTTTCCTGACTGCAACCATACTAAAAAAATTATGTGGGTTTATTTTTTCATTATAAGATGGGGGGCAAAGGGGGAGGAGATGCGGGAGGGTAGGGAAGTGAAACTATTTATGGAAAACTCAATAATCTGAGACTCTCAAGAAAAATCTAAAAAACTTTAACATCTAAGATAGTTCTATCAGTAGCTGAGTATTATCTTACCTGCTTCTCTTATTGAAAGAGTTTTTTGTGGCTTTCTTCTTTCTTCATTAGATTTCAAGTGAATAGAAGATTAGTAGTAAAAGATTTAGCCAAATCACAGGAGAGTCAATGTGAAAGAATAAGGAAGTTTTTAGGATTAAAGTTAGGAGCAGAGGAAATTTTCCTTGTCTCTCAGGAGGAAGGACTTTGTAAAGTCTGTTCCTTTTAAAGTTGAATGCTAGTCTCACAGTGATGGCTCACAGTCTCACCAAATAAAAAATGTAGGAAATTATTCTAGTGTTCTGTTTGGTAGAGTGACTCTTAGACTGCTGGTAGGAAGTTATGTTTCAGGAGGGAGGACAGCAGGTATTCAGTTGTTGCTGAAAAAGCTGTAAAAGCTGCAACTGTATTAAAATTTGCATTGATACATACCTTCATGTTTGCAATAAAGATTTAATAAGCTAATCATTAGGTACATTTCATTGTAATCGATCAGATTACTTCAGTGTCCAATGCAACTCAGTCCAATTGAATAGTATAATTGCACCAGTGGGACAAAGTTAATGACAAATCTTCTCAGCCAATATCTTGTCTTAGAAAACTGACTTTGTTCAGAGAGATAATGTGGTATTTTCTTTCTGAAAATCTACTAAAACTTTAAGAAGTTTGGAAAAGTTCTCACACTATATATACTACCAAGTACTAACTCTACTAAAATAAGAGTTGAACGTTTATTAAATATTAAGAGTGTTTTGTTCTAACACAAGGGAATTTCTGATTTTTCAGTTCTACTGCTGTGCATGCTTCTTGCTTCTCAGCATTTTCTTTTCAGCATGAGTCAGGTCAAAGTCCTCAAGGTTTTAATGCCATGAAAAAATTTCTGGTATTACTGCAGGCACCAGTCTAATTGTTTCCTCCTTGGACCTCTTACAGCTGTCATCAACAAATAAATTGTTTGAAAAAGCTATGTGTCTTTGGATCATCTGCTTTTCTAGGCAGTTTCATCCCAGTTAGTTTCAGAACTGTTGATTACCCTGTTCTTTCTAGCTCACAGTTGATTTTTAGACTCCAGTTGCCAGGCTCAGTTACTGTAAGCTCACAAGTATGGACCAAGGCATCAATCTCAAACTTCAGAATAAAGAGCACCATGAAAATCCACCTAACTGTGGATGCTATATGCTTCACATTCTCATCTCTTCATTCGTCATTTCTTTCTCACTTCAGATGTCTTTTCTATTCAGTCTCAAGTGTGAGCACTTAATTCGGAGAGCCTAAAAAAATGGAGAAGCCTGTTAAATTTTTTTTTAAAACAGCCTAGCATCATATGGTCATATTAGCCTTGACACAAATATGGAGATTTGTGTTTGAGTTCACAACTCTTACACTTTGTTTCAAATGTCTTGGTGTTCTTTTAGTAATGGTTCAGTGAGTTTTAGTAATTAACCTTTTGAACATATTTTTGAAGGATTTTGCTAATCTAGGAGACAAGTATTTTAGTTTCAGCTAGTGGGAGTTTTATCCTAGCTAATCAATTGTGTTGTCAGTGCTCTTAAACCTTGCACAGAGTTTGAGTTGCAGTCCAGTAGATCCTTAGCTTCTGGTAATATTTCAGGATGGAGCACAAACAGAATATTCCTCAGAATAGTCAGGAGGTGTTGGTGCTCATTTGTCTGTGTCCAGCTAGGGAGCCTGAGGACAAGGAATAAATGTCCTGTAGTTTGGCTTCAGAGGAGTAGAATAAGAGGTAAATTCAGCACCCATCTCTAGAAAATAATACTTTAGCATTGATCTTAAATATATCATAGATGCTATATATGCCTTTCTGGAAGTTTTGAAAAATTAAGGAACAGTATTTCTGTAATCAAGTGGTCTGTTTGTCAGTCTCTCACCGGTAGCTTTGAAGCCACTGGCCAAATCAAGTTTAAAAGGGTAGTGGTAGTCCTAAAATAAATATTAACGCATGTTTCATGAAAATGAGCAGCTGTGTAAATGCAAGAGGCCAAATCAGGGGAAAGGCTGGCAGAACCTGGGCATTAAGTTTCTCACTCAACTCATTTGTGTGGCTCCAAACTACTTACAATGCTGCCCCTTAAGTAAGGGTCAGAGTGACACAGAGATGACCCGTTTAAGATAGGGAGTGGGATAGAGTGGTTAAGAAGGGGCAAGCTTTACATTCTTACTGAAGAGGTTTTGTTGTATTCTGTCTATAAATGGGGTAGTTTTGTGTGTTTAAAATAAACAAAAACCACAAACAAAAACCACAAAAAAAACCCCAAAACGAGACTAAAAAACCTGACCCCCAGAAAACCCATATGAACAGTAGCCCGTAATCTTTGCCTTAATTTAAAGTTTTAAATGAGGAGAAAGGGCTCTGTCCCTACAAGGAGTGGCACTGTGCATATAAGCACTTAGAAATTTAGACTATTTTTTCTGGATATAATTTCTGCTGATTGAAAACTGTTATTTAGGAATTTCCATAGTTATTTCTGAAATAACTGTTTTAGACTAGGTTCACATACAGGCCGTTCACAGAGTATAGTTCAGTGTAAAGAAGCACGAGATTAGGTTGACTAGCACTGTATAGTTTGTCCTGTATCTTCTGGAGTCCTTTATATTGATTTGCCTAGAGATGGGACAAGAATACTGGTTTGTTTTCACAATTATACTAACATAATTTTTGTCAAATTTTCTGAGCACTAAAAATTTTGTATTTGTAATTATTGTTGTAGTCTTTGAAACTGAATTAATATTTACTTGCTATTTTATCAAACTATAACAAGTTTAGCATTCCTATTGTGATTTGTAATCAGGTTTCTGAATCACAGACTAATTTTATGTATTTAGGTACTTTGTCAATCTAGTTGTGGCTGTAGCTTGACTCACTAAATATGAGGACTCTTGACAACCATGTATTGATACAGCATGCCTCTATCTTATAAAAATTGTTCAGACATTGACTTATTTGCTTTTAGCAATCGACAGAATGTTTTAATTTAATTCTTTGCCTTGTCAGTGATTTAGACTTATAAAAAATACTCTTTTACAGCGTAGAATCACTTCTCAGGGGTTGCACTGGCAAGCTGAACTGGTGAAACTGGATTACTCTGCTAAGTGTTAATTTGCCTGGGATTTTTTTAAAAAATCAGCATTTACAAAATACCTTTGAAACTCAGTGGCTACAAAGTTGAGGAACTTTCTGGGGATTTTATAGTTACAAATACACAACATGTGGCAGTGATTTTATCTTTACAGTATTTGAATGGCTTAACCAGTTTTTTCACTTGTATGATTTTCATTGGCAAACATGAACTCTAAAGGTATTTCTGTGTTGACTGTGTGCCTGTATCTTCATTATGAGATGCAATGTAAAGGTTAATATTGACAGATAACAAACTGTTGCACAGTAATCTCGGACTGAAATGGAAATACTTCATGTGTATTAGTGTGCTTCCCAAGTCAAGTACTGTCCAGTGCAAATATTTTACTTTCCAGTGCAACCTCTGAACTACTATGCTGAATCTCCTCAGTGATCTTTTACTCCCATCTTTCTCATCATGCTGACTTCTCTCCTCTGTCTGTTCAGCAGTGGGAGACATTTAGCGAACGCTCTTCAAGCTCACAAACTCTGACCCAATTTGATTCTAACATTGCACCAGCTGATCCTGTAAGTCAATCACTTAGCTTGCTTGTTTGAAATTAATTTTATTAACACTGAATTTCCATTAATTGTATTTAGCTGTTATGCATGATTCCATGGACTGCTTTTTGGGGAATGGTGGCAGGCTTCTTAATTTTTTTTGCTTATTTTAGGAATATAAATTTTCTAGTACTGCTTATATTTAAGATCTGAGTGCAAAGAATGCTTTTTTCCCTTGATTTTGATGTATTACAACACTGCTATCAAAACCTGTGTTACACAACATATTTAAATATGTTTTTTTGAAAATACTTGTAAGTTAATGCAAGGGCCACTCCCAGTGATAAACCAGTCCTGTTTTAGATTTTGTCTTCAGTGATGTTTTGGTTTTTTCAAGTTGCAGAGCTTGATTTGCACAAATTCTTAAGAGTTGACAATGCCAACTTCGCTGAAAGAGCTACTGGGCTTTAATGGGTGTGGTAATTCATACTCCTGTTTCCACCAAGTTACTTATTAATAAGGCTTTTAGTATTTCTCTAGTTTTCTGTGCTATGCTAATGCGTTACTTGGTGAGGAGTGCTCTGAAGGATTATGTCCTTAAATATCTTGCCAAGTTTGGGAACCAGAAATTTGCTGCAGTGTTTCCAGTTCTGCTGGTTTTGAACTTCACAGCATGTGACATTGAAGCAGTTCTGAAATGCGTTAAAATTACTTAAGTATTCAGCTGCCACTTTCATCCTGGTTTTCTTACAGATTTAATTACCACTGTTAGTGTCTATTTTAATTAATTACAGTGTTAATGTCAGTTTGATTATATAACAAAATATAATAGGTGTACATAATACATATTTAACTGCTTTTAGTATTAAAAAGATCTCCTCTAAAAAGATGTAATACATAAATATACCTATATTAACTACATCAGTGCTCCAGTTGGAGTGATATTTATGTGGAAATAGCATTTCTAGATGTTCAAGCTACACTGTTCCCTGTGCTCAGAATTGCCCTTAGAAAAACATTCAAAACAAATGAAAATGTAATACTTAAAGTGAAAACCAGCCCTTTTTCAGCTAAGAGAGACTTTTTATATTTTAATTAAGTCAGTTTATAGTTGGTTCTTGCTGTGTATAATTGCTTGACAGTGAAGAGCTATCACTGTCTTGTTTCCACAATAAGATAGTAATTTATTTTTACACATAATTATTAAATGATCGAAGTCTGAAGTTTGTCATTTTTTTCCATACGTTGATAATCTAAAAAGTAGAACAGTGATATATAGAAAACTCATATATAGCCGTATGTGTGTGTGTGTATGTGTGTGTGTATAAACAAATTCAGTAGAAATACAAAAAATATATTGGAAGATCACATTCTTGAGTCATTTTCTTACAATGCTTGTAGTTGCAAAAAATTTTAAAGAATGGTGAATGTCTTTGATCCTTCTCGAGGTAACAGACTTCAGGAATAGATACGTCAGAGTCTTTATTTTTATATGAAAAAAAGAACAAATTACAGCAAATTTTCAGAGGCAGCATGCAAACTTCTTATTTTAGCAGTCTCAACAGTAATGCATGAGACTGATTTATTGAACAACTCCTGCTTTCCCAGAGGAGAGAATCAGCTTTCTCAAGCAGTTGTTAATAACTAACTAAAGAGTAAATTCATAGACGAGTTCTTTTCTCTTTTTGTTGGAAAAGCAGCTGCTTTGGAGGTAAAAGATAAGTGGAAGGAGTAAAACGGTACATTCATCCCCCAGTATAGGAACGTAATTTGCGTGTTGTAAGTGAAAGTTGGTAACATGTTGTCTTGTGCAAAATTGGATTCATGATCTGAATTAATACATTACATAAAAATACATTTAACTGAAGCCTGGTGCGACAAGAGTGTTTGAGCTGTGACTGTATAGTGGTTTTAAAAGCTTATATTTGCAACAAGAGTAGTGCAAGTCAGTTTAAACAGTTTTAGAAAATATTAAATGTATTGGTGAAATTGATCTGCTTGAGTACTCAGATTAAAATTCTGATACAAGGGTAGCTTTGAAACTTCTTGTTATTTCTAGGGACAGAAGATAATCTGGGATGGTTTTTGTGCTGTCATTCTGCCAGTTCATATATTCCGAATATAGATGACAGTAAAAAAAAACCTCAAACAGCTATCTCTATTTTTAGGTTACTTGTGAACAAACTTAGAAGTTTCAAGATTGTTTTTTAGGCTATTTACACTCAATCTCCAAACCAAATGGAATGGGTTGTCTGTATAGTACATTAAAAAGGCATCCTTTGTCTGAACTACGAAGAAAACGCCTTAAGTGTAAGGTCAACACCTATCTCGAGATGTATTCCATAGGATTTATTATACTAAAGTTTAGAAAATTCCTCTGTTTTAAGGGTTCCTGAAACTGTTTGTCTTAAACTACTACAAAGTACCTATTTTTTAGAGAATTACGCATACTATTTAAAGAGGCCATAACTTTCTGAGGCTTCATAAGTAAAGCCAAGGAATGGAATTTTGAAGGGGTGTTTTGTTTGGGGTTTTTTTTGTTTTGTTTTTTTTTTGAAGATGCACTTGAAGTAACAAATATCTGGTATGCCAGAAATGGTGGAGAGGTGGTAAGATTCAGGTCCTATTTACAGCACAGTAATCTACAGAAGCATTTCTAGTGCCCTTTCAAAGTAGTATGCTAGGTTACAAGTCAATTTCCGAAATTTTGTTTAGAAATGGCATGGTGTCAGAGACTCTTAATAGAAAAAGTTAAAGCTAGATTAGCATCACTTAACTCTCATCTCTTCCACAGGACACTGCAATTGTGCACCCTGTCCCCATAAGAATGACTCCAAGCAAAATCCACATGCAAGAAATGGAGCTTAAAAGAACTGGAAGTGGTAGGATATTTTCTCTTGCTAGTGTGGAAAGTTTTGTAAAATTAGAGTTGTTTTGCTTCCTTAAGCATGCTGACTTTTTTCCTTCTCCTTATATGAATATATCTGGAGTTTTAACCAGCAGAAATAATGAGGTTTTCTGAGTTAAGAATTAGAAAACTGTTCAGATAGGCGCAGAGTTTGAATTGACCATTTGCTATGGTGAGGATTGCACCATCTATAGGAGATCATTGCTTGGAGTAGTTGAGGAGCATCATGATACAGATTTGATTTGGGCCTCCAGGAGAATGTCTAGGTTTCCTTATTAAAAACTGAAGGAGACTGTGAAGATGGAGAACATAGCCTGCATTGATAAAGCTTGTTCTACTGTGGTCAGAAATACTGAGTTTATTATTTTGAAACATGACAGCATTTGGGAGTATTGGCAAGCCTTTTTAAAAATCTTTTGTAAACTCTGGACAAAAATAAGCAAGATGGTTTGATAATTTTCCATGAGGAATAGTGGAGTGTCAGTTTACAGATGTGTCCTAATATGTCAGTATTTCCTAAACTCTTGTTAACTCCTGCACAGTCTTCAGCATATGAGAATAAACAAGGATCCACAACATAGAATCATAGAATGGTTTGGGGTGGAAAGGACCTTAAATATCATCTAGTTCCAACCCCTCTGCCATGACATTTATTTTAAAATTTCCTTAGCCTTGTAAATAGGTGAAGATTCCCAACTCTTAACACTAAGAAACAGAAATAACTCGATTACAATGTAAAATTTCAAAGTTAAAATAAATCATACACCAAAAGTGTTAAAATACAACTATTTTAGTCTTGAGTACAGCACTTCTGATAAGAGTAGAAAACTGATGTAATTCTTGGGCATCAGAAGTAAAGACTCATTTGAATGCATTTGTTTATTGGGCTTGTTTTTCCATCTAGATCATGCTAACCCTACTAGCCCACTACTTGTAAAACCACCTGATCTCCCAGAAGAAAACAAAATGAGTTCATCTGTAAAATTTACAGCTGGAAATACAGTTAGTAAGTATCAAAGCACTTTCTGATCTAATTTTCTACATCCTTTGCCTTATATAACCATTAAAATTGGTTATTGTCCAAATGTGTTTGAAATTGGTTTAGAAATACTTCTATTATCAGTGTAAACCCAGTAGTTTTGTACTGAAATGGTGTAAAACATTTTGGTCCAGAAGGGCTTACTCTTTCCTCTTTAGAAGCATGATTACATGAATTCTTGTTTGACTAGGTTATGTTACATCCTGAATGGCTTGAGAAATACACTCAGTACAAGAGATACTTGGATTGTTTAAAACTTAGTTTTCTCACTTGAAAACTTAAATGTTATCTCATGGTAGTCATTTATGTTGCTTTTTTTTTTTTAAGAATGTGTATATAGATAGGATTTTTTAGATTCTCTGTAGCCCTCACTGAATAGAGACACATCTGTAAACCTGCAAAATAACTTCTATTCTGATATTAACATGAAATAAGGTATTCCTCAGCTGACTATGCATGGTACAGGTCTCTAGCTGACCTCACTAGATTAATGCACCTGTGGTTTTAAGGAGAAAAAAAAAAAAGTAACAGGTAAGAATGCACCTTGCTGAACAGGAGAATAATCTTTGCAGGACTCTCATCTCTGAGTCTTGTTTGGTGTGTCTTAACACTTTTGAAAACTTTAGTGTCCTAGGAGGTTAAAGTAATCCTTTGAGACTAGGTGTTTCAGAAAAATCTTTATGCTATTGAGTAGAATTTTCCTCTTTACTGATAACTAATCAGGTGAGTCTCATTGCTCCAGTGACTTGCCACCTTAAATTGTGCTTTACCAGGTGGTCTGGAATCATACCTTGTGATAAATTAGTCTGAGATCCATTTTTATGTCTACATTCATTCTACACAAATATTGTGATTTTGGTGAGACTCCATTTCTGAGGAAAAAACCTTGAGATTTACACAGCTTTTAAGGGTAAGGATGTCCTTAAGGAAACTGTCTATGTGATGCTATAGTAGCATCTTTCATTTTTATAGGTTGCCTTAACCAAAAGCTGAAAGATTTTAAAAAAATTTTGTCCACAACAGAGCTGACTACCAGCCTAGAAGATACAGAAGTTACAGTAGTAGCAAAGCTACTGGGTTCGTCTGTGTACTGTACACATTTTTTTTTCCTTTTTCTGACTTCGAAGGTTGATGACAGTCCTTCAGTATTTCTAAAATCAAGCATGTCTTACTCCTTCCTTTTTTTCCTTTCATGTCCCTTACTCTTGTTGGCTATATTGTTGAAGTGATAGAATGTCAAGTGTTTAAAATTATTGCTTATGAAACATACACTTTGTATTTTAAATACAATATTATTGTTGTATACTCTTCAGCACATCCCAGGGGTGGCTAACAATGCATAGTATTGGGGGAGGGGAGTTCATTTGTGTTAGTTACTTCAATTATTCAGACTCAAGGATTTTGAATCCTGCTGAGATGATACCTTACAGGGAAACAATACAAGGACATAAACCTTTTTGAAAAATAAGAATTGGATATTTGAAGTTATATATTACCTATATCTGTTAGGGTATATTAATGATGCCAAACAAATATGAAAATTTGTACTTTCTTTTACCAGCAGATGGTTACAGCAGTTCGGACTCCTATACTTCAGATCCGGAGCAAATTGGAAGCACTGTAACGCGGCAACGGTCAGTAGGGTAGCAACTGTAAAAATAAATAAAAGGTGTTTAAAGAAGCCTGTTCTGAGCTTTTGGTTGTTTGACAACTAGCTTGTGACATGATGGCTGAGTAGATTCTTTAACACTCGGGAATCTGGAGGCAGCCTGTTTTCTAATGCATTAACAATGTATGCTCATCCTGTAAATGTGTGAAGTGAAAGTTCAAAATAATAATGTAGTCTAAAAAGTTCTTTGGTACTGGTCAATCAAATGAAACTCCACGTTCAGTCAGAAATCTTGATAAAAGACTTTCCTTAAACACAAGGGAATGTAAGCACAGGAGATCATGATGTTAATTGAAACCAGGTTTTTTTATATTTTTCTTTTTAAAAATATCTATTAGGCGTTAATGAAGAAGGACCTTGTGACTTTGTAGTATAAAAGAAGAATAAAACATAAATTAGAAATATCATGGCAGTAACTCAATCTCTTTTGATAATGGGCTTTTATAAAATGAAGAACAGTCATAGGCCCAACATAAATTAAGGAACTGGAGGAAGCTATGTAAGCACATAACCAACTACTGCATCATTTGATATAAGAGAACGTGCTGTACTAGCTGGTGCTAATTTTTCCCATTAAATCTGCCTGAATAGGATTAAAAACCAGCTACGCCATTAACCATCTTACAGTCAGTTTCAGAGGTAAGTTTCAAAACAAAAATAATTAGGGTGACTTCAATAGCAAAGAAAGATTTGCAATTACTTCTCAGAACAGCAGCTTGAAAAATGCTTTCCTCCATTGTTACTTAATGGCAAATTTGATTGTCTGGCCTGCTTCTATGTATGTTTTTGCACATGATGGTTTCAACATGTTCTTTTCATCTCTGATTTTGGGTTGGGTTCTCTTCCTGAACTTGTATAGATGAGTGGAGCTTTCTGATGAGCTACTGCTTTAGAGAACAGGTAGCTTCTGTCCAGATCTGGCAGTTCTGGCAGTGTCCACCCAGGAAATTTTTCTCCCACTTCCTCTTTTACTTCCTTCCACTGATCTCTCTTACCAGTTGCAACTTTATCTGTAGAGATGACATTGTTCTTAACTTTTGGTATTTTCAGAAACCAAAAACTGGCAAGGCTATGTCAGATAATGATACTTCAGGAGTATCTTTAAACCACTTTCTCCCTTTTTTAATCCTTCTTGTGCCTTTTATACTAGACTAGCTAGAGGGATGACCCTATGAATCAGTGTAATTAGATTTGTATTTCATCAGCTGGAGGGTTACACAGTGTTACAGAAGCATTGTCCTGGAGAGTATATTAAGAAAGCAAATTTTACTGTTGTGATAACTGAATATTCTGTCTAGATTTGCACATTCGGGAATTTCAGGTTTTGTGTGAAACTTAGGTACCTCTTATCTCTCCTAGTTTTGTATCTTATGATAGTTATAGAAAAATGTTACACAAGTCAGTTGTAGAAAAGATTTTATCACTTATGAGTTCAGTAAAAGAGTAGCAGTACTTATGTCAGTGATTCAGTAAATCTTTCTTGAATTGGACTAGTTTGAAAGTTTCTGCAAACTGTTTTTAAATGGAAATGGTACAAGAATTCTGTATACAATAAATCCCACTTAAATGGCACTTTGTGCAGTACTTCATCCTTCTGTCCTTTTTGAATGTGTGCTCGATGAACTTACAACAGGTATCCACTAGATGGTGATCCTACCTAAGAATGAGTTAAAATTTCTGACGATGCTATCAAGTCTATAGATTTGGAAGACTTCAGGCAGAGAATTAGATAGCTATCTTGTACACTGAGATACTCCTTAAGCTTGATGTACATGGAGACTGGTTCAACAAAAAGTTAATATTCTTCTTCAATGACATTGAACGTCACCCATTTACAACGTAATCAGGATGTTGACTACATCTTAAATACTTTGCAAATTACAGTGACTACCATCTGGATAGGATTACCATATGTAGGGTTCTCTGTTCATGAACTATCATTGTTTGGGATGTGTGTCAAGCTATTGGTTTCCCAAAGATAAATTACTTGTGGTAATAAAAGAATAATTTGGATAATGGAGATTTAAGTAAATAGAAATATAAAAACATATATAAAAATAGTGAAATCAAAGAATACCAGAAGTCTAAAACTGATTTTACAATCTTCAAAATCAATGGCAATCAGGCTCTTTTCCGTCAGTCAAACTTGATTTTTTTAATTGCATACTTTGGAGAACTTCTGAATTCTAGTTCTCTTGTAGCTGCCTAAAATCACTACAGAAGCTTATATGTTTTGCAGATCACATTCAGGAACGTCTCCAGATAACACTGCACCACCGCCACCTCCTCCAAGGCCTCATCCTTCTCATTCTCGATCATCATCTTTAGATATGAACAGATCCTTCTCAGTTACCCCAGGTAGATATACTGTGTTCCTAATGTATATTAATTTTCAACACATATGTTCCTAAAGCAGACAGGTTGTTTTCATCTGAAGAAAGATTTAAAGTGTGTTTTTAAAACGCTGCTTCTGAATGAAAAAGATGAAAATGTTGGCACTCTTACAGTTTGTATTAAAATTTGTACTCCACTTCGCTTTAAACAGATAATTTAGAATTAAATTCTGAACGCTGGCATTGTAGTCCTTCGGATGAATGTGGAAGCAAAGTCAGGAAATAACATTTGGTAGTGTACCCACATGCAACGAATTGCATCTGCCAGTGAGTTTTCAAGAGGAGTTCTTTTGGTATCAGATGTATTAGAGATGGGTGTGAAGTATTTCACTTCAAAGGAAATGACTAAAGGTCATTTTTGATGCTCTGCTTAAGAGTTTTTATTGTTCTTCTGATTTGTCAGTACTTTTCAATTCAGGATGACAAAGTATGAGAAGATGTTAAGAGCATATAATGAGGGTGAAAGAAAAAAAGAACTAGGATCAGAAAAGTATGACCGTGTCTGTACTTTCAGATGGAACAAAGGACAAGATTCATGTTCTGATTCCTTGTTTTGTCTTTTTGCAAATTTGAAAGGAAATGACAGTACAGTTATGGTCCTCAATATGACAAGTTGATATGTAGGAAAAATGCAAGCTTTCTTCATGTTGACAAGTCAAAAAATTAGATAGCACTGTAATGTGAAGAGTAACAATCTTGGCCAAACACAATGACTCTTTTACAGGACAGCAACAGGCTGGAGTTGTTGCCTATCCCCCTGCAGTGCCTCCAAGACCACAGCCTTCACAGGTGATGTCACTTTTGAAAAATCATACTCTTAACTTGATGCATCATTTTTATCTAACTCTGAATTTTAATTTGCTTCTAAAATGAGTAGTATTGCTTGGTATTTTTTGAAACCACCAGGGTGTGAATGATGGCAAAACCTACACTATAGGCAAATGTTGGCCTTTCCTGAATAAAGAATTGCTTCTGGTGGAACTGTGGGAAGGGATTAAAGTAGAGATTGAGGAGGAATGAGTGGCTCTGAAGCTCTGAGTTGTAGGAGAGAGAGGGAAGTTACACTTTCACATTTCTTTACCTGTCCCTGTATAGCTAATAGGCCATAACACAGACTGTGAGAGCAATCTTTCAAAGTTTTACGAAATAAGTGTTTGTCTTCTATCTGTCTGGCACAGAGTATAGTTGTACGTAACATGCCTGCTCTCCAACGGAGTGATCCCACTTCTTCATTTGTCATAACTTGGTGATGTTTGCAGTCCCGGTCTGAGTCAGTTCGGTTAGCTGATTTGGTAGAAAACAAATCCTGCAAAAGTTGTTTTTTCTTTGTCTCAACCAGCTGAATCCTTCAACTGGTGTGCAGACAGATAAAATTGCTTTTCAGTTGCTTTTCAGCAGCAGCTACTTGTTAGAATCTGAGTTACCACCAACTGAAGTCAGTCAGTGGATCCAGAAATCATCTGCAAGGAGAGGGTACGGTGACAGACATATTCCACACAGTGTGATCACATAAGCATGTTTCCCTATGGAACTAGACTAAAAATCTGTATCAAGCCTGACAGAGCCAAGCTGGACTGTGTTACAGCAGAAACATCTACTGTCCAATGAGTCTAGGTAGTCCTACAGTGCATCCATCTTTGGTCTCATTCTCTGGATAATAGCACATCAGATTGAACTTCCTTTTCTCTTAAATATTTCTCTATAGTTTTATAAGCACAGAGAGTGGTCTGTTTGTGTCTTGGATGAGATGCACTTTGTCCTACAGACAGGACATTAATATTTGTCCACCAAAAAGGCAAATAATCTTTAACCTTCTGTCACAAACTGTTGTTTGGGGAGATCCTTTGCATCAGATAACTATGTTAAGAACGTCACTAAATATTTTTGTTATTTTCTCGCAGGGTGCAGGTCCTCATATGCATCGCCCAGTAGATGCTGAAGGCCTAATAGCTCATACCAGTACCTCACCTCAACAAATACCAGAACAGCCAAATTTTGCAGACTTTAGCCAGTTTGAGGCATTTGCTGTTTCAGGTGTAAACAAAGAGGAAGAAGATGAAATTGAAACACACTCAGAAGTCTTGCAGGTGAGCACAAGTGAAGAACTTGTCAATTGCTTAATGCCACCAATAATTATGTGACTTTGTTGAAACCAACTTCTACTGTTTGAACTCAATGGGGATTATTTTTGTGGCATCCCAATCCATTGCTAGAAAGCTATTACATTACACACTGCTACACTTATTTAGTAAATGCCAGATACGTAGGCAGAAGGAATTATCTTCTTCTCAGTTCTTGAATGTAATTCAAACTATTTTGTACTTATTAGCATATGTGTGCACAAACATAATTGTGTTGATGCATTTAAGACTTAGCTCAAGCAAAACTTTTCTTCTGCTCACTCTTGCCAGCCTTCCAAATGACTTCCTGGTAAGTTTTCAAGTAGTCTGTCTTAATAAATGAGATGGCTATCAAGTATTGTAAACATATACTAAAACTTCATTAATTTGGTTTTGTTCAAAGCCATTGGACAAACAGCTAAAGTGAATAGAGCTCTGGCATTGTTCTGTAACAGATCATTAGAGGTGTTTATAAAACCTTGGTTCCTGCTACAGACACAGGACTTAAAAGTTTGGAAGCTTCAGAGTTTATTTCTATTAATGTCATAGCAGCTTACTGCTATTACATGAGTTACTTCATGTTTTCCTTTCATAATTTGTATCCTTCATCCAGATTGTAAATTCCCAGGGGCACGTCTGCATCCTCAATTGCAAAAGTACCTGTGATGCTTTAAAGCTCTCCTGGCTATAAACAGCCTGTTCTTCTTTCCCTTCTCAGGAAGGTCAATGACATAGAACCATTTGAGCCCTCTCCACGTACCTCATTGCAAAATCAGCTATGTTAGCTTAAGCTGCCACTGAAAACTGCTTAAGTTAAGCTTGCTGATTGTTTTGCATTGAGGTTGATGAGGAACAGTTGCATTGTGTTCCATTGGAAGGACTAACCTTTGACAGTAACAAATAGATAATGGTGGTGATGTAATAGCAGAAACAGCTGTAGTAGTTTATCATCAGGCCACATCCTCTTTTGTACTGTACGGTGCCTCGTAACATTGGGGATTTGACTTTATTCAGAGGTCTTCCAGTATCTGGAGTACAATGCTTGAGTACTTTCAAGTAACTGTCTTGTCTTTTTTTCATAATGATCTTAGATTCTGTATTTAATCTTAAATTTCTCTGTCAAAAGACAGGTCTGACTATTGATTCTATAAATACGTATTTTTATTATGTGTCTTTCCTGTAAGCTGCTCCCAGGCCAAAACAGTGTTTGTGACCCAGACAGTTTTAGTTTGGTTTTGCTCCAAAGCAGATATTGTTGTATTCCAGCTTGTGCTTCTTTAGAAGACTTGAACTGGAATTTTAGGTGTTAACTGTGTTCATGTGTCAGAAACACAGCATACTTCTATTTATTCCAGCTCTTGCTGAATGAAATATTTGTTAAGAAGTAGTTTTCTAAATATAGTTTATATCCCCTTAGGTTGAAAAGCCCTCTGATTCTGCAAGTTCTCTTAGAGTTGCCAAAGCAGATGGAAGAGTTGAAGACAAAGCACCTGCTAATGTCCCCACTAATGCGGTATGTAACATACACTTGGAAGGAGAGTGCTGTTATCTGATGTATATGAAATTATATGTCTGTTTCGGTTTGCAACAGCAACTGTATATGCTTCCGCTTGAACCCAGTTTTCATAGGTTCAATATGGTCTTTTCATAGGTCTGGAGCATAGGTCTTATGAGGAGCAGCTGAGGGAGCTGGGGTTATTTAGTCTAAAGAAGAGGAGGCTGAGAGGAGACCTTATCACTCTCTACAACTACCTGAAAGGAGGTTGTAGTGAGGTGGGTGCTGGCCTCTTGTCTAAAGTAACAAGTGATATGACAAGAAGAAACGGCCTCAAGTTTCTCCGAGGGAGGTTTAGGCTGGATATTAGAAAAAAAATTCTTCACTGAAAAAGTGATCAGGCATTGGAACAGGCTGCCCAGGGAGGTGGTGGAGTCACCATCCCTGGAGGTGTTCAAGAAACGTGTAGATGAGGTGCTTAGTGACATGGTGTAGTGGATTAGATGATGTTGGGTTGGCAGTTGGGCTTGATGATCCTTTAATGATTCTATGATTCTATGTGCTAAAGTAGGCACATGTATTGTGAATTTTTGCATCAGGTGGTGTTCATGATTAACTTTGTTCTTAAAATAGCAGAAAAATAAGATACTTGTAAGTGTTACAGTTTTTGAAATAGTAAAACTTTTAGTACAGAACTTGGTTAACTGTAGCTTTATTTGTCACAGACACATAATTACTGAGGGGAAAGCTTGCTCTGAGATGTTGTGTATTTGCAGTTGTTAGCTGTACCATGGTGTTTCTGCTTGCACAGTTCTTTGTCAGTATGTAGCAACTTACTTGCCTTTCACCAGGGAGAGGGATTTAGTACTTAATTTTTTTTCCAGACCATATGAGAATGCAGCTAGATGTCCATCAGAAAATATCTGAAGGGTTGTAAATTCAGGTAGCTCACTAACTGGTTTAAAGAATATGTAACACAAACAAATTACCAGGTTGTAATTAAAGTAAAATGCAGTTTGTGAGAACTAATAGACTGTGTTTTCCTCTTCAGGGTAAAGGCACTACCCCTCTTGCTCCACCACCAAAGCCTATTCGCAGAAGATTAAAATCAGAAGATGAGCTAAGACCTGAAGCTGAGGAACATACACAGAAAACAGGTGTCATAGCTGCTGTTCTTGCTTCACAGCCATCTATTCCTAGGTAACCCAAGAAGTGTATAAATACATCTGTTACTGGAAAGTTGGTATTTAAACAGCATACATGCTTTCTGTGCTAGGAGTTGCAAACAATTTCAGTGTGTTTGGATTAGATTAATTTAACAGTTTAAAGGTTTTTGTTTTTCAAACAAGATCATCCTGAAGCCTCTACTACCAACAGACCATTTAGAGATCTTGAATTTTGGAGTGTGAACTCTTTTTTAACTTCTGCAAGTATGTTGGAAATAAGTGATGGAAGTATTAAGATGTAGTGTTTGATTTTAAATAGTGGTCACTATGAAGCAAAATGTATAGTATTTGTGTCCTAACATGAAAGTAGATTATTACATTAGTCACTTTGAGGTAAATCAATGTGGTATGGTATGTTGGTACTTCAGAAAATGATTATGACAGGTTTTTAAAATGTGCTTCTTGCTCTTTAATTGAAACCAAGTATATGTGGCTTTCATGTGAGCCAAGTTAATAGCATCAGGCAGAAGAGGGAAAATAACAGTGTAACAAGTTACAAAAAATTGAAGAGAGGATTCTGCTCGTTTAAAAAAGAGGGACTATAAATTAGATATTTACATAAGCAACAAAATGACTTATTACAATATTTCAAATATATCCTCAGATCAGTGGGGAAAGACAAGAAGGCAATTCAGGCATCAATCAGACGTAACAAAGAAACCAACACTGTTTTGGCCAGATTGAATAGTGAACTACAGCAGCAACTAAAGGTAATTCCATAATCTTTGTCTATTTAAGAGAAGAGCCTGAGAGGGCAAGATGTTAGTGTTGCACAGTAACAGGCACCCTTGCAAACCAATGAGGTACACAGTAGAGGTTATTGATATAAAATACCTAGTTGTTTTTATTGTCATAGAATATACCTAATTGTGACAAGCTTTGTGAAATTACAAAGGATGCTTTTACTACTTCAAAACATATTTTTCAATGTATTGACTTTCTTTCAGCTACGCTAAAAATAAAAAAGCAGAAATCTTAACTTAGTATTAATAATTCAGGGTGGCTGTTGTGGTCATCAGATACTTTAAAAGCAATATTGAGAAGAGCAGCTGAAGTGGCTTGCTTCCTGAAGGAAAATGCAAACCTTAAAGTCTTAATTATAAATATTTGTAAAAAATATAATAATCAGGAACAAAAAACTTGCAGCTTAAGAACAACAATAGTCATCTGTTTATCTAGGTCACCTATTATCGTTTTGTATTTATCTATAGGCACAATCTGAACATCTTTTTCTTGCCATCTTTCTTACCTTAAGATATATAATTTTAATTATAAAGTTATTTAATTCATGTTTACATTTAAGATTTTTTTTTAATGTGGTACTGTCTAGACTGGAAGATAGGCCCTTTTAAATACTATCAAGCTTGAATTTCACTTGTTACTGTTTATGAGAGTCAAGGTGCATAAAATTCACATAAGATAAAAAACCGGGGGTAAAAATAGCGAGTTTCAAATCCTTTGACTGAAATGAGAGCTTTTACCCCCATAATATTTTAGACTTCACTTTAATATATTATAGTTGAGTTTTCAGCTGGTTACAGCTTTGTGGTTTGGCGTGTTTTGAAGGGAATGAAGAAATACTAAATGGCTTCACCTTTGAGCAAAGCATTGATTTTCATTTATGAGTAATTACTAGCTAGCCAATCTTCTGTTCAGATGCCAATCTTCTATTCAGATTGTAGGAAGAGTTCTCCAGATTCTAGAAGAGACTTGACCATTAGTTCTCAAAACTGAAACTGACCTTTACCAGTTTTGATCGCATGAGGAAATGTTTAATATTAATTCTCTGTGGACAGTCAGTAGAAAAATCTTTCTTTTGTAGGATGTTCTTGAAGAGAGAATCTCCCTGGAAGTCCAACTGGAACAACTTCGACCCTTCTCTCACCTCTAAGCCTACTGCCGTTAACTGTGAATTTACTAATATTGAAAGGGGTATTGGTTTCAAAGCCTATTTAAAGATCCATGCGTCTAGCTCAGTGCACTCTGTTCTACATTAAATGTTGTGGTTCTGTTTTGTCAGTTTGTCCACTTTTGTATTTAAGTATTTTAATTTCAGTACAGAGAAAAAAAAAAACAACTTTTTTCCTTGAATGTGACACTGCCTCTCACATCATTTTCTGTGGGCACCCGTGGCCTTTGTTGGACTCGAGTTTGCAGTTTGCTGACAAAACTTCCAACTGGAACTTTTTAGTAGTTCCTTTTTTCCCATTGAAACATCTTTGCAGAAGAGAATTGGTAATCAATTGACTTTAAGCACATAAACTCTTCTTTTGCTATGGCATTTATTTTATTGTGCCAGAAAATAGAAAAACTAGTAATCTGTCATCAGCCAATGTTACTTCCCAGGCTGCCTTTCACAATTGGAAAGTCATTCACAATTCTAGAAAGCCTGCCTCTTTGCAATAAACCAACTTATTCAGGTTGACAGAATTCTTGCAGGCTGTTTGCCATATCAGCTGTTTTTGATTTTGGTTTTGTTGCATACATTATAGAGTATGTAACCACAGATTGCCAGGTGTTCACATTTTATCCATTCATGATCCTGATTCATCCGCATGCATATGAAGATTTATGGTACAATTGTTAGTCTGACAAACAGACCTTTTTCAGTCCTTCCTTTTGTGAAAAGAGTTGGGTGTAAATCCCCAACATTAATTACACATTACCTAAGCACCACCTGTAATTGCATGTTTCACACATTACCTTTTAATAACAGATCACATCCACCAGTTTTCACTGTAACAAATTTTGTATTGTCAAGTAATGTGTCAATACCTCTATGAACTTCTAATTCCCAGCAAAATAAATAAAAACAAAAAATGAACAGTTTGCTTCTTAGGAATTCTGGGGTACCTTCTGTCATCTTGTTTCCAGGCCTTATTTCTCTGGCATATAGACAGGCTTCACTATTAACAGAGTTCCCTGAGTGTATCCTGCTTTTCAGGTTGATGTACTGTATTAGGATTTGTTGTATATTGTATGATACACACCTTTTGATCTCATATGTAAATTTGCATTAATTGCTGACTAACAGCAGATATTCTATTTAATGGCTTCTTCTGGCTGTGGGATCATAGATGTTTAACTGCATGGATGTATCTCTGCAGAATCAGAACTAGCAATTGTGTGATTTTTACACCAATAAAACAGCACAATATTTTAATTTTGTTGATTCATCTTTATGTGGGAATTGAAGTAGGGGTGAGGGGTTTATTACAGGTCTGAAGGGAATTTCTGTTCATTTTGTGGCATGTACAAGGAACAATCAAAATCCCTTGACCATTTTTTCCCCTCATTTTTTAGCTGTTGGTCAGAAGTGATCAAATTCTCGTGGTAATCTGTGGCTATGCCTGTTGTATCCTTCTATAAGCAAATTTAATATAGTTGCAACTTCTAAAAAGTAAATGCTAGTATGTACTTGGGTCAAAGAAACGTACAGGTCTTTATTATTCATTTCTGGTTCGACATCCTTGAGAGTACCTTTCGGAATTAAAACTAAATAGAACACTTGTTGGCAGTCCTTATCCTCACTGTCTCACTTCTATGATGAAATTAAATTCTCTTAACACCTGTTTCCATTAAAAAGATATCTCAAGTCAGATTTTTCTGCTGGATATGCTGTTTGTTATGGTGAAAAAAGTATTTCTCTTTTTGGTTACTGTATAAAGACTGGATAATTATGGTTAATTTTTATTGCTATAACTATTCCAACATTTTTTCAAATGTCATAGAAGTGTTTCAGATGGCTTCTGTATATAATCCAAAGCAAGATTCCCTGGTATGAAAGACACAAATTACATAGTTGCATGAAAAGAAGATACTTTCTATTTGCATGTAAGTGGATTAAGAAATGATAGCTAAATGGGCACAAAGGTTACTGTTACACATAAATTACATTTCAACTATGTCTTGCCAATTAGTAGATAAAGTGCAAGACTTTGATTTAAAAAAAATGAAATAACTAGGGTAATTAAAAAACAAACAAATGAAACACCCAAAGCAAAACTGAAACTATAACATTGGTGGACTAGTCACTTCTGTAATAACTACCAAGTAGCAAGAACAGTGTTTAAAAAAGTGTGTCACTTACTATAGTCAAAGAATGTTGATTTCAAATCAACTGTGTCTTGTCTGTAGTTTATTTTGAAGTTAACAATACATTTTAAAGATATAACTTTTCATATTAATATTTAAGTATTAAGCCTATGTTTATAGCAACAGGTTTTTTAAATCAGATTTTAACATTTTAAGCTTAAATGTAAAAAGCCTTTTACATTCAAATGTGACATGTACATATGAGTTTCTGTAGCATCCATATCTTTCTAGTAGAATGAAAAGTTAGTATCTTGAGTGAAGAACTTAAGCAATCTGAATATTTTGTCTTGCCAACAAGTGTATTTTTAAAAATTTTTGTGGATTACTTTTAATGCATCAGTATGTTTTACAACAGTTTTTCATGATCAGAAGAACTGCTAACTGAAAAATTACTTATGTCTTAAGCATCACTGCCAATGATGTTCAGAAGTTACCTCAGCAATGTAACCCAGCTTTTATCCCTGTATAAAATTATTTCCCTGTCTTCTCCATTTGTCTGATCTTCATTCAGCTACTTGGTGCGTTCTTTTTTTGTGAACCTAGATTGTAAGCTCTTTGGGGCAAGGAATTATGTACCATACAAGAGGTGTGCTCTCTCTATTGCAAGTATAAATATAGACTACTAAATACTATGGAGTGTGATTCAGGATGGATGGACAGCAGTGTGCATTTCTGAAACACATGCAAAATGTCTTTCTTTGGACTTTGTGATTGGAGGAGTGTCTCTCTTCTCATTTGATTTGCGTTTCCTTTGTTTCTCCTACTAATGTGCCTCTTCATCCCACCTGCTTTGGAGTTGCTTTTTTCTCCATTCATTGCCTATCTTTGGACTGCGGAGAAGATTTCCAAACTGCAAAGGTAAAAAGCTGAAAAGCCACTTTTTTGAGAAGTATTTTAAGTCTACCCAATGTAACCTAGTATTTTCAATTTTTTTGTACTTCACATGATCTTCATTTTACTTGCAATTGTGTAGTACATGAACTAGAGGATCTCATGTTACTGAAAATGTCTTATGTGGGATAAACAAAGTTGAGGTTATGAAAACTTAAAACTATAGAAAATAAATTTGCAGCATTGTTTCTTGTGTGAGATGTCTCTGTCCATTATGGATGGGGTGTGCTTTGTTTCTGCTCTACATTTAGAACAAAATTAAGTTGCTCTCCAGGGTTCAGCTATGCACAGATTTTTGCCTCTAAATGCAACTTTACGGATGACCTAGTCTGAATCAATTTAAAAAAAAAACAAAACACCAAAACAAAACACTGTCTCCTGACTCATTCTAGTCTTAATTTCTAGTAGAATGTAGTTTCATTAAATGGTAATACGTTACAAAAACATGTTACTCCCAAGTGAGTAATAACAATGCAATTCTTATTCTGTGTGGAAGATTAAAAAATAACATGTATTTTAAACTTGTGTGCTCAAGTTGCTTAAGTACTTTACAAAGCAGTCCATGTGCAGTTAAGTATTCAGTTATACTCTCCAACATTCCATTTTTTGAGACATACAACTTCATTTCATAAGCAGAATTCCAGCAGGTTTTACCATGGATATTGATGTACTAATCATTTATAATACAGCTGTCTAGAAGAAAACACATGAAAACCAAGGACTTTAATAACAAAAAAATGTTAAATGTTATATTCTCTTAATAGTCCTTGAAAAAACTAACTAGTGGTTACAGCAATGATGTTAAAAATGTCTATATACTTGGAAGCAAATGAGACTATTCAGTGTTGTCCTCATAATTAGTACCCAAGAAAAATATAATTTTTTTTTTTCCACAGGAGTCTTTGAATTAATTGCTTTTCAAAATGCAGTTATGTGTTTGGGGGAAGGGTTTAATACTGTGTAATTTCCTTTCAGTAATATTTCTTTAAATTGGCAAAATGGGCTTTTAAAGTGTAATTCCTGCTTTAAAGCTAGATTGTACACGAATTGTACCTGGTTGTACACTGTTGGTGTGTTCCACAGTGATTTTACAGTACTTTTTTCTGGCTTAATCATATGTAAGTACTCAGTGTCTTGCATTTAACAGCCCTTGTTTCAATGTAATGCTGAAATTCAGAATTGTAACTGTGGAATACTGTTTCTGATCTCACAGCTTATATCCAAAGTTTTAAGATTATCAGCACTATTTAACGCACTTTGACAGCATTCTGTAACACAGAAAGCTACATGAACTCTCTTCCATTAAAATTTGTGCATATTATTTTGTATTCATGTCCTCACACTTTAAAACCAACAGTAAGGATAAAAGAAAAATGGGGCAAATAGATTGAATGGTAGATCCAACAGAAGCTTGCAACCGTGAGTATTGGTATCTATAGATGCAGTGCTATTGTCCAACTTGGGTACTTGATACTATGTGATTAATTATAAGTTTGAATACATATTTACCTAGTCTGTTTAAATTAGGGTGGAATAGGGCTGAGACTTGTAATGCTAGGCCCTTGCATAATAGCATATGATTTTATGCTGCTTCCGCATGTTTGGGTGATCAAGATGGTAGTTTCAAAATTAATTTACTGAGTGAGCCTTTCAGTGAATTATGTGAATTTCTGTTCACTCCTCACTTGGGCATAGAAATTTTCTAATAGACATGTGAAATTGTGCATCCATGCAGACTAACTCTTCCATCAAACAAGCTCTGAGAAGTTTATTTCCAGCACGATAAATGTAGGCTTCGTTGTCAATCTCGACTTTACCCTGCAAACTACTGAGCCTGCAGGATAAAGCATGTTGCTGGAGAAGTCTGTACATGTTTGAAGGGGTAGACTTAATAATTTGCTTAAGTTCTGGGCTGACTCACTTTGGAAATGTTTCTGTGAGAATGTCTAAGGTCTGCCTAAGTTTCAAATGAGAACAAAAGAAGTTGTTATCCTGTAAAATATAAGCCAAGTTAGTTGGGCTTTTTAAATTTTTTTAAACCAATTTTACTAATCTAAAAACATTTCCACACTAATTTTTCGTTGTAGACTGGTGCTTAAGCATATGTCTGTAGTATTAAGACTAATTATTTTTCCTTCTTGAGTTAGGAGCTGAGTGAGAAGTTTCTGGTTTTATTGTTAAGATCCTTAGGACCTCTGTGAATTCAAGACACTTTATAAATGTACAGCTTTGATCTCAGACCTTGTTTGATTTGGTAGCCTATGCAGCCCTTTACTACTGCTCTGAAAGTATTAAGATGCCTGTACAAAGTAAGAAAACAACTTTTTCTCAACTAGGTTGCATATTCTTTCATGTAAAACCAGTGAAAGTTGATCTACCAAAGTTACATTTTTAACTAGCTGAATTGCCAGCTTTTAAAACTAAAATAACAAGTGCTTACTTCTTTCTTGTAGTTTCAGTGGGTTTGTTTATTTTACATAAAATAAAAATCCTGACACAGAAATTGAAACAATTTTTATTTGTTGCAATTGTAGTCTGAATGGTTTTAACCTGGAATGCCATTTTTTCATTTTCTAACATGCCCTGTTTTCTTTCACTGATTGCATTGCAATTTTAAGGGTTCCGTATAAATGTTTCTTGTATTGGCACACGCTTAAATGTTAGAAAGTATTCGTTGTAGTATTTTGAAATTTTTACTCTTTTCAGTATTTTGGCTTTTGGCATAGTGCTGCAATATTGCATTGATCTGAGTGGTCAGATTATTTGCAAAATACTATTTTTCTTCCCTTCGTTCTGGTCCCAGTCTTACAGTTTGTG